CTTGAAAACCATACCCTTCACAGCGGCACATACCTATATAGCCCATATATGGCAGTGCCCCCCCCCCCCGCCCGGGTACATCGAAACAATGCTGACTATGCGGACCCTCGCAGACGGGAAGTGCTCGAGTTTGGATAAAGAGTTTCGATACAGAACACGTTTGAGTTGACTTAACTGGTACCACAATTGCGACGCTGCAACTAGAATAGTCAGAATAGCCTGCGAGGTGAAGCCGTTACCGAGCCGCGCGCGACGAGACGGCGAGCGAAAGCCAAGCTGCGGGAGACTTGTCGGCCGGCAAAGCGAGCCGGTGAGGGGCTGGCACGCAGCGTATGAGAGCAGTGTGAGGGTAGTGTTTGAGAGGGCGCTCGCAGGCTACTAGAAAATCAAAGCGTATTGTCTTCTATCAATTAATTTCAAGTCCGTTTTACGTGTAAACCTGATTTGACTAAACATGTTTCCAGATGTTGAGCTGATGTGATTAGATACATTTTAAACTAGCTAGGTCAAATATAGCAGCAAAGGTTATCCTGTAACTGGCAATCACTGAGTGGTTGTAATGAATTTTCTCGAGTCCTGTCTGCATGCCGCGACACCACATTTGTTCATTCGGGATCAAACTTAAAGAACAAACACAAGTCAGAGTGTAGAAACCTAATTATGTACTCCTTTCTGTTTAGTTCTATTCTGATAAAGCATGGGCCAGAGATATTTTGTGTCTCCGTGTTAAATGCAAGCGGAACGAGAGAGGATGTGAGTGGATTGGTCAACTACGACATGCAGAGGTAATGTCGTCAGTGTTGGTTTATTAATTCTTGATACATCAATTACCCCTCTAAGCTGCCGCTCTCTCTCTCCCTTCTTCCTTCCTTCCTCTGTTCCTTCCTTCCCCTCTCTCTTTCTTCCCTCTTTCCTTCCTTTCTTCGCTCCGTCTGTCCGTCCATCTGTCTCTGTCTGTCTGTTTGTCTCTCTAACTGTCTGTCTGACTCTGTTCAGTTAGATTTGATTTACAATAATCTGGCATTATAAAAAGACATTACTTAAGGATGTTTGTGAACAATATAATGTTACAAATTTTGTAACTCGCAAACAGAATTAATTAGACGTTTAACTTTACTTTCCTTAGGATCACCAAAAAAAGTGTCCTTATGAAGAAGAAAAGTGCGTGGACTGTGGCCATGACATACAACGGAGGAATCTACAGACTCACAAACAGGAGGAGTGTCTGCAGAGAATGGTGGAGTGTGTCTTCTGCCAGGACAACTACCGCTATGCCAATAAAAAAGTAATAATTATTAAAACTATTCATCTTAATCCTGCGTAAGAATAGAACGGTTTTTAATTGACTGTCGTAAAACAAAACGTAATTACTCTAGCCAATCACAAGGGACACAGACAATGCAGTGAACCAATCGAAACGGAAAGTAATTACATGTAGCTGACGCGGGAAAACGCGTGCGAACGCGTCACGATTGGTTTTGGTTTTACTTCTGATTGGATTAAAAAAGGCCCGTGTGTTTTTTTAAGCCAATCGTGTTATGCAGCAAAGCAAAACCAATTACTTTTCGACACTCGAATGAAAACCGCTCTATTTGTTTCAACCATGCTGCGTTTAATTTCAGCCCAGGCCAAATTAATAAATGGCTCCTCTGCTATATATTGTGAGCCAAAGGTCGTTAATGGATTGTAAATTAATGGTTTGCAGTAAAAACTTTATTTGAGTTATTATGCTGGTAAAAGTTTGCAAAAAGTTAAATAACGGTTGGCATATACTGTACAAGGCATCAATTGGCATATCCTTCACTTGATAATGTCTTCCATGTTTCTTTTCTTATCTTAACAAAGATACACGAGACTTGCTGTACCCGCTATCCTCTCATCTGCACCAACAACTGTGGAGCTTTACGAATCCCAAGAGAAGAGGTACAGTATCGATAGAATATCTCAGTTTTACAAAGTTCAGCTACACTGGGGATCTCGCTGGGGTATTGCTCTTCCTAAAAACAACGATCTTGAATAAAGACGTAAAACCAATTGCAAAAAAAATGGAACACTTCTCCCAAAGTTGCGTTATTCCCAGGAAAACATGTGCTTATTATAAAAATAAACGGACGGTTTTAATTCGGACTCCACTGAAAGTTAATGTCATTACTTATATTTTTTAACGCAATCTCTATATTCAGACAACGATGATAATAAAAAGCTATCATTGTGTACACAATGTCCAACTAAAATAAAGAAGTGTCTCGAGTCTTCTTCGCAAACATTGGAGAAAGACGTGAGACAGTTGCGCTTTGTCAGGCAACAGACTAACACGTTGAAAAGCGTCGCTGCGTGCCAATCACATGTACTACACGTGTTTTAGGTTGGGGTAACGTAATGCGTGGAGTAGACATGAGTCCGACTTTGCGTAGCAAAAAAGGTATTGCTAGTATCACTTGGCCTTAAACCAAAATAGTTTGCCAAGCACAGGAAAGCGAACGTAAGCCCAGTCACCGGCGATTAGAGTTGGTTTTGTTTCTGATTATGGTAAAAAAATCTCCCGGCTGTTTCTTTTGAAGGCGAGAAAACATTGTGGGTTGTGAAATCTGCGGGTTGTTTGGAATCGTTTCTCTCGTTTGTTGTTTGTATTCTTTTGCATTGTTAAGTTTAGCTGTTTGTAGATGAATAAAATTGTTGTTGTTGTTGTTGTTGTTGTTGTTGTTGTTAATTAATGTTGTTTCTAGGCGCTTTCGGAATTGCGATCGAATATATGTAAAGTTCAAAATGAAAGCTATCAATTCAGTTTCATTGTGTCTACTTTCGATCCTCACCGCTTGTCTTGTCTTTTAACTTCCCCATCCTTTGGAATTCAGTACGACTGAATCGAAATTTCCTGGTGAAGTTTGTTTGAATTGCCGGTTTCGATCGTTCATCCTTCAGGGAACGCCATCTTCCTCTGTCATCTTAGTAATCTCTTGCTGGTAAGAGCAGGTCATGGAGGAAGAGACACAGATTCATCTTTCAGCGGCGTTTATTAGTCCATTTATTTTGGAGCTGCATGATACTCGTGGTTAACATCATTTTGCACTTTTCCTCGACAGATGGACAGACATATCTCTAACCAATGCCCGTTGACGGAAGTGACTTGCCCCTACGCCAAAGCTGGTTGTCCTTTTAAGGTTTGTGATATTGATAAAAAATTAATACCCCCAAATTTAGAGCGAGAGTAGTTTTGGCACTTATATTCCTTACATAAGCTAAGCATGGACGAGTCGAAGAAAACACGAGTATTAGACTGCAACAGCTAAAGCTTGAGCGTTATTCGAAGCAAAAAAACCCTCCGTCCTCCCTCATTGTGGCTTTGCCCGTTTTTCATAGTCATGGAGTTGATTTTGGGTATACCTCATTGCCAAGTTATTCAACCTAACTGGATCAGGCTGGCTTACTAAGGAGAGAGATTTGATAAAAGTTTTCCCAAACTTAAAATGGAATCCTCAAGTTTTTATTAGGTGCTCCGTACACTTCAGTCTGAATCTTGACCCTATCGTTAATCCAGTATTTGGGACTAAGGAGCAATGACCCAAATAGCCTATAGGCGCGATAGGACCAAGCTTCAAACAAGCGTCAAACTGAAGAGTATAAGTCGCACCTTTCGCAGAAATGCATGGGATTCCTTTTAAAATATGGAAAACCTTTATTAAATCTTGTGCTTCCCATAAGTCTGTTCCAGACGCGGAAAACTCAGTAGTGCTGTATACAGCCACAGTGGCGACTCTAGAAATCTAGAGGTTCTCAAAGCATGCGGACATTTTCCATCTCTCAGGCCTCATATTTTTCAAGAAGAAAAACGGGGTGCACCCCTCGCCTGCGGGCCCGTCTGGTCCCGTGTATATGTAATTCAGTTCAAATGTAGAGCGGTTTCACTTGAGTATCGAAAGGTAAATGGTTTTGCACTTGCTACACTACACTATTAGCCGCCACGTTTTTATCCAGTCAGAAGTAAATCCAAACCCAAACTTGACTTACTCCGCACACGTTTTCGAATTCCCGCTCTTCGCGTCAACTAGAGCATTTACTTCGAGCTTTCATTGGTTCACTGGATTTTCTGTGCCCGTTATGATTGGCCGGAGTGGTTACTTTGGTTTTGGTTTTACGACACTCACTTGAAAATCGCTCTATTTGCTGTTTGGAATTTCATTATTAGGACAAGAGAGCTCATCTAAACAGACACATGGAGAGCAGCGTGGATAATCACTTGTGGCTGACTTGGTATTCACTGGTCGAGACGAAGCAGGAACTCGGCAACTTGAAAGATCTGCGGCAAAAATACCTCAAGGTACAGCAAGTCAATGCTAAGCTGACCCAGTCCTCTGCTGAGTTTCGTGACGAGATTCGCGATCTGTCGGCGGCTGTGAAGAGGCTGGAAGCACAGAATGCCAAGCAGGTGAAACAGATCGAGGACTTGACCAGGAAACTTGAAAGGGGCACACCAGAAGAAAAGGTGTCAGTGGAGAGGCGAACATTGTCATCATCGGCCGGGAAGCGCATCAATGACGACATCAGGAAGTCCAGTACACGTGACTTGGAGTGGAGCGCTGTAAGGAAAAGAAAGTGACTTGAGGGAAAGAAGCCTAAAAATGAAACAATGAGAAAGTCAATTTGGTTTTCTGTTGTTGTTGTTGTTTAAACTACGATTAACGCGAATGGGATAATATAAGTGTAAGCCCATTTTTTATCTCCTATTCATTGCTTAAGAGCGTTTTTTAACCCTTAATGTTAAGTTGTAGTTCGAGATAAGGACAAAGAAAGTAGTGAGAGATCGTCAAAAAACTAAATTCAAAGGAAAATTAACCTGATGTACCTTTGAAAAACAGGACCTCCGAGTCAAGAGCTGGTTGTTAAGGCTATTAGGATGAGACATACTATACTTATATTGGGCTAAACGACAGAAAATGTTGAGAAATATGTCAGAGTGCTGAAATACTGTAAATGCTCTAAAGACAGCCAGAACCCCTCATCACTGTTTCTCAGAAACCTTTTGCTTTCATTGTTTTGTTAGTGCTACTCAGTAAATATCAGCCCAGGTGTTTCGAAGGATGGATAATGGTATCCACTGGATAAATCATTAATCAACGAGGTGTCGATTTTCTCAACACAATTATTTACTAGGTAGCGAAATAGCTGGAAACATGGTTTTAAAATTTTATCTGTGTGTGCACTGATGCCCGTTCTCTCCCTTCCTCCATGGAAAATACAGGCCCATCAATGTTCGAAGTACTTTGCTTGACTAAATTTCTTTACTTTCACAAGGATACTGCGCACAAGCTTCAGAGGGACTTTGACCTAATTCAAAAAATTCTGAATATACAAGACAGCGTTAAAATTTGAAACAGAAATTTAAAAACGATCGTCAAGGTTCACGTTCTTTAAAGATCTTAAAACTACGTAGAATTAATGTACAAAGAAATGTGTCAATAACTGTAACGCACGTGCACAGCCATAGTACTGTTCATTACAGTAAAACGTTTGTTAAGTGATATTCCCGTTTCCGTTGTAGCTTTCTTAAACTCCCTAATTTCTATCTTACTACGACTAATACAAGTTTTGTTTACCGTTAGAAGGGTTACTTGTAAAGCAAGAAAAACGCTTGTCTTGAATGAATCAGTACGTTGGGTGGCAGGTTGCCATGTCTGCCGTAATACTTATGCGAGTTCTCTCAGTATTTCCATAATTTAAAAGAAACTCTAAACGGAAAATACTTAGCCCTGGGCTGTAAGAGGTATCAACGAATCCTCATGCCTGATCAAACAAGAATGAGCCCTCGTAAAAGAACAGACCTATCACAATAGACGGAAGTGAAACTTTGCAGTAATTTGCAGATCAGACATCTTCATAGCTCACCAAATAAAACTGACGACGAATTTGAACTGGAGTAAACAGAGAGGAATAGCTACCCGAGCTAACCTGATCTCATGTCAGATCAAACTTCACTTACACCAAACTGCAGTGCTTCCACATCTAACCGACTGCCTCAAAGCGCTGGAACACTTCGGTAGACGGTCCAGCTGGCGCGTGGGGCATGGGGTACTAGGAGACAGGTATCTATGATGTTCCTCTAAGCCCCGCAAAGCTTCCTTTTCAGAAAAGAACAGCTCTTTCCCCCATCGCACATCCCCCCCTGCCCCTGCCCCTGCCCCTCCCCCCGCCCCCTCACCGGCTCCATAATAGCGCTTGGGCTCCTGTGTTTTTTTAAAACCCGAAAAAGGGCGCTGACGTTAACTTTGATCTGTACAAACCAGGTTTTCTTTTTGAACTCACACCCAACATTTGCTGAGAAGCAGAATTTTTCTGTCAACGCTTTAGAAGAAGAAAATGTTCCCTGTGCGCGCATGCACGCCAAGCGGACCGCAAATATCACTGCACGAAAGGGACTGGGAAGGACACCGCGTTGGTCATTTCCAGGCTTTCGCCTGCATTCAATCCAATATGGCGAATTTCGAGCAACACATTTAGTTGCAAACAGTCGTGTTCCTCTATATCTGCTTTTCCTAAAATATGTTAAACAACTTTGGAGAACGCAGACAGCTTTCTGGTAGTCCTTGGATTTTACAGTTATGCTCCTGTCAATATAAACCCCACAGGAGAAGGGGGCGGGGGGGGGGGGGGGGGGGGGGGGTGAAGTGTGGATAAGAGGTGGAGATTTGATGCCTGAGACGAACCTCAAGTCATGCCTTTGACCATGGAAAGTGGCCCTAAGCTCGGGAGAGTCTGACCCGGTGTATTGATCACTGCTCATGCTGTGGGAAAAGGTAAATTTTTATTTGTTTCAATTACCATTTATCTGACACTTTAGACACCGTCTTAACAGATATTGTCTATTTTGAGAAAGTTTTCAACTTCAAGTACACATTTGATTGTCTGAAAGGGAGGTACTCCCCACAGTGACCTTTATGAAGAGGCTCTGCCTGAAAGGGGTACCTTTTTCACTGTCAGACTTCAAGTATATAAAAGGGCAGGGAATTCACAGGTTGAGGTATTATCGTATATGAAAGGGTAGGGAAAAAT